GGCATCAATGATATGGATAATTGGAGAATATGCGGAAAGAATTGACAATGCTGATGAGCTTCTTGAAAGTTTCTTGGAAAGTTTCCCTGAAGAACCTGCACAAGTCCAATTGCAATTGTTGACAGCTACTGTAAAACTTTTCCTTAAGAAGCCAACTGAAGGCCCACAGCAGATGATTCAGGTCCAGCCAAATAAATCATGTTTTATTCACACTTGTGTGTGGCTTGTTTTCTTGTATTTTTCAATTCAAAGGATATCTTTGGCATTTTTTCTTGAATTTCCTCAAACACCCATCTGTGAATTATAGATAGGGTTAACATGCGAGATGGTACTGATCTTTCTCTAGCAAAATCAAGTTGGAATACCCTTTACTAAGCATGCAAATCTATTCACTCCTTTCCTTCTTGCTTAGGATTTTTTTTAACAGAAATACGAGTCCTAGCATTACTTGAGAGTGAATATTTGAGATTTATATCTAAAACAATTCCCAAAATTATTGTAACAAATCCATAAGACAAATCCGCCATTCTATCATCACTCATCTAAGTTGGTTTTAAGAGTCTCCTTTATATTGTTCCTTAAAAATGGTGGAAGTTATTTCATGTTCATTCTTCATATGCTGCTATACTAAGTTTCACTTTATAGTTAATCATCACAGGTTGTTTTGAACAATGCTACTGTGGAAACAGATAATCCTGATTTGCGAGACCGGGCATACATATATTGGCGTCTCCTCTCAACTGATCCCGAGGTTTGATTGCTTGAATTAGAATTTTCTTCTTTGTCTGTGATCTTCTCCAAAATGTGGTCAATCTGTTGAGGTGCATACCCGACTGAAGATTGGATAGTCATGATGAACTTTTTTTTTTATCAACTATAAACTCTTTACAGAGAAGTTAATCATTTGTTTTATCATTCTATGCTAAGGATTAGGTGTACACACCATGACTGACCATTTGTAATTAATTAGAATTTAGTGCCTAACTGCATGCAAATGATAGTTTTTCCCCTCAGATTATTATTTTTTAATTTCCTTTTTGGACACCAATTTCGAGTTTTAGATTTGATGTACATGTACCTTGTTTATCTTCCCCAGGCAGCTAAGGATGTGGTGTTAGCCGAGAAGCCTGTTATAACTGATGACTCAAACCAACTCGATCCTTCTCTACTTGACGAGCTTCTGGTCAACATTGCTACAGTATCTTCTGTTTATCACAAGCCGCCAGATGCATTTGTAACCCGAACACTCTCGTCTGCCCAGAAAACCGAAGATGATGACTATCCTGAGGGAAGTGAAATAGGGTATTCTGAGTCACCTGCAAACCCTGCTAATGGTTTCACTTCACCACCAAGTGCCAGCTTTACAGCACGTGCATCTGTTGCACCAGCTTCACCACCACCTACTCCACCTGTTCCAGATTTACTTGGCGATTTGATGGGCACGGATAATGGTTCTATTGTTCCCGTTGATCAGCCAGCTACTCCTACCGGGTGAGTGAAACTAGGAAGTAAATTGTGGTTTACTTGTATGAAATTTCCGACTGTAATCTGCTATGCCCTTTAGAAGTGTTGCATTTAATTTTTTTTAATGATTTTTCTTTTTAATAGAAATAGAGATTAATGACAATTTTTGCAATGCCACATTTTATTATTAAATATTAATACTATTTCACTTGAATTTGGGAAATCCTATCAACACTCGTAATGGTTGAGCTGTTTCTAAAACCTTCATTACTTTGCATTTAATGAAATTATGCTTAATTAGTTTTTCTGCCCGGCATGCAGACCTCCATTGCCTATTGTACTTCTTGCTTCAACTGGTCAGGGTTTACAAATCAGTGCCCAGCTGACCAGGCAAGATGGTCAAATATTTTACAGTATGTTGTTTGAGAACAACACTCAAGTTCCACTTGATGGCTTCATGATTCAATTTAACAAGAACACGTTTGGTCTAGCAGCTGCTGGAACCCTCCAGGTTATTATTACACGTATGGTTTTATTTGGAGATATCTATCAAAATAAGTTCTAATAGATGGCTAGTTGCTTTTCAGGTCCCACAAGTGCAACCTGGAACATCAGTCAGGACACTCCTTCCTATGGTTATGTTCCAGAATATGTCCCAAGGTCCTCCCAGCTCAGTTTTGCAGGTGGCTGTAAAAAACAGCCAACAGCCTGTGTGGTATTTTAACGATAAAATCTCATTCCATGTATTTTTCACCGAGGACGGTAGAATGGAACGTCCCACTTTCTTAGAGGTATACTTTTTCATTCGTTTTATCCTTTTACACTGCAATAAAGTTTGATTCTTTGATGTGTAAAATTTCCAAGTTTTTCTTCAGTGAGCCTATTTTTATACATGTTACAAAGAAGGCTGAGGACAATGAGAAATTTATACAAATTCAATAACTTTGCCCCCTTTTATGATCAATACTTGAATGCAGAAATTGAAAACTGATCATTATCTGTGTTACAGACTTGGAGGTCCCTACCTGATTCAAACGAGGTTTCCAGGGACTTCCCAGGCATTGTGATTGGCAGTGTGGACGCGACACTGGACCGACTAGCTGCAGCAAACGTGTTCTTTATTGCAAAGCGCAAGAATGCGAACCAGGATGTGTTTTACCTCTCAGCTAAGATCCCTCGAGGGATACCATTATTAATTGAACTAACCACAGTGGTCGGAAGTCCTGGTGTCAAATGTGCAATCAAGACCCCAAGCTCTGAACTGTCACCATTTTTCTTTGAAGCCATCGAGACTCTTCTCAGGAGCTAATATTATGATGATTATTATTATTATTTATGTTGTTATTTTTTCATTTAATTTTGTTTATACATTGTTTTCATTAGCATCTTTGATAGATATTTTTCATTATTTTGGACACGGGTGGTATCTTCGAAATTTTTTTTACCCGCTTATATATAGCTGTGGGGTCTTGTGGACAGCGTTTGTTACAAGGTTGGATGGTTTGTAATATTCTGCTTTATTTGTAAAAACAATGATTACCTGGATGCTATTAACATTTTGTATCAAATTTTAGGTTCTTTACATAATCATCTCATTATAAAATTAGCTTGATCAAGAGGTGGAAACTGGTAACAAATTCATGTTAGCAAATATAGTGTAAACTATAATCTCTTGCTTAAATTACATTGCTCTCCATTTTCATTTTAAAATCTTTTATTTTATCTTTTAAGGTCAAAGTTGATAATAAATATTTAAAATCAGCTACTAATTATGTTGAGAATTACCATAAAAGAAAAATTAAATTAAACGCTTATGCATTAAAATGATTTAAATATTAAAGTTTTTAATTAAAGATTTAACATATATTGATATTTAGAAGAGAAAGAAATGTATATTTTAAAATAAGAGAATAAAGGAGTAAAAATTAGGCATCTCTCAAATGAAGGGAATGTAATATACTCATAAATATAATGAGTATTTTTGTGATGGGAAATTACTAAATCAACATTTATTAGTCTGACGGACATGAATAATTTTGTCATGGGAAACTAATAAATCAACATTTTCGTAGTCGAGGGTATAAGATATTGCTAAAATTTAATGAATTACGTTGAGATTTAGGGGTTAGTCATTTGAAATTAATTACTATTTTTTAGATGGGTTGGGTCACTCTTATGAATGTAAGACATGGGTATCTGTGTGTTGATTACATCATGGAAATAAGACATGTACTGTTTGAATTAGTGGTTTATTCTTTGCATAATTTTGATTTTAGCTATTGTTTGTGATAATTTTTAAATAATATAACTTTTTTCCACACATAATCTTATTTAGAGACAATTATATTCAAAACATGATCAAACACTAAATGTAAACACTTATTTCAACAACCAAGATTCAAATCTTGGTTTGTTTTATTATGAGAGATTAATTTCTTCTATTAAATCTAACTTCTATTGATTTTTTATTCTTTATTTTCATATTAAATGAAGTTAATGCTTTTTTTGTTGCACAATGAAGTTAATTTTTACTTTTTTTATTCTTTATTTTCATATCAAATGAAGTTAATTTTTACTTTTGAATGTGATACATGGACTCATAATTTTCTACTTTTGCATTTTTATTAATTTGTTTTGGGGTTAAAATTTAAAATTAAATTTACTTGGGTTAGACCTTGCAAGCTTTAAGTTGTGTTGGTTTCCAAATCTAAGACGTGAAGTTGATTTATTTACTTGAAATAGATCAAGACTTGATTTGTTCCTTTAAAGTTTAAATAGTCTTACTTAATTTTAAGTTTTAACTTGACTATTTATTATTTAATGTCTTAGATATGATGAACGTTTTTTTTTTTTTTTTTTTTTTTT